CAAATGGATTTTCATATTAGAGACCAGGACCCTCGAAAACGCCCACGGGGAAAGTTTCAGCGGAAAAAATTTCAACTTTTTCGGTGAAATTTTTAAGTCAGGATATTTTTTCTTCAATAAAATTCTAGTGGATAGAGATTTCCTCTGCCCAGGGGTGGCCTAGATAGATGAGGGTATGAAGATTCTTCACAGCAAAGAAAATCTTCCTTTTGTTTTCAAAAATTCCATCTAAAGCCCGTCAGCCACCGGTGGCTGACATAGGTTAAATATCGAAATTTTTATAAAAATCGAACAAATAAAAACAAAAACAAATAATAGTAATAACAAAAAATAACGAGCAAGCAAAAGTGAAAATTACTCAAATTCCCTCGTATGACTTACAGCGTTTTGCGAGAAGGTTCTTGAGTCGCAGAAACTTCGGATGAGAATTTTGGGACACCTTCGAGAATGTGATGTCGAAATGGGAATCTCAAGATGACTTATAAAAAACAGTCCAAAAACCAAAATTTCACCGAATGAGACATACCAGCTCCATAGGAATATTTCGCTTGGATCCTGTCGTAAACTTTAGATAAAATTGGATCACCGAGAATCATTAGTGCTATACTTCCGGCTCGAGACTCTTTCTCAGCTGTACCCAACAAATCTGTAAAAATTTCGGGCATCAACCATCTATGGAAACTTAGATGAAGAAAATAAGCCTTATGCCCAAAAGGTAACGCTAGCAGCGAAAATAATTGAATATTTGCTGCTAGCTGGATCTGCAGAAACTGACCAGCACAGTACAAATAGAATACCCTCGGTCCGTGAACTATCAAATTTCGCGTTGATTCCACAAGAAACATACAGTTCACCACCAGCTGTATCGTATCGTCTGGAGAGGAACTAGCTTTCTAAAAAGGTATACCTGGATGTGAACACAATTCTCTCTTGAAATACCCACTCACAGCCGATATTTGTGTCCAATCGATCGTGAAAAGATCTTGCGGCTTCGTTGACGGCAAAGGAATTAGGTCGTTTAAGCTCTCCAAGTATATGACTGTTTTCTGCAAGGAAGTGAATGTCGAACACGTGTGTAATCCACGTACGATGAAAAGAACGGATTACTTGACGAAAACACAACTGAATACTTTTGTGTTAATATTCATAACGTTCGAATCACAGGTGCCTATTCCTTGTTCCCTCGCAAGGCCAAATGGACAGATGCCTCCTATTGCACAAGAGAAGGAACAAAGGTGGGAGAGAGCGGAAACATATCCTTTTTATCCGGTATTAGAAGTATTATTATATTTTAGTCCTAACGCTAATGCCTTAACTTCATTTTTCACCCACTGCGGAAACATAGAAAAAACAAATCAGTAAAATATTCAGGAATCGAAAATTGTAAGAAGACGACCTAATTGATCTACGCCCGTAGCACTGCAGCATTGCAGCATTGGCAAATCCCTAAAATTTTTATTTTGAGAAAACGCACCTCAAGCCATTTCTCTGTGAATGATCGCGACTCTGATAGCACCTCCACATTTTCTATGTATTCCACGGATAAGCCCAATGGAACAGAGTTATTCCTAAAAAACTTGGAGTAAGTTTATCGTTTCCTCTTCAACAAAACTACCTAAATGATGAATCAGAAGCAGGCGGTTCAATCCACTGCGAGATGATGAGAGATGTTATAATCTGCTGGCGTTTCCTCAATGGGCCTAAATTTACGCGAATATGATGGCACCGACGGGGTTACCAGGATTACTCGAAAAAGAACCCTGAATTATGACAGGTCTAGCAAGTTAAATAGTAAGACCGCATATCAATCAGACACTTCATGTTGAGGGAAAGGAATACGATGGGCTGACTAAACGGCCCACGAAGCCGATAATGATTCCATCTCCTAACGTTGCGATTTCGCCTCCTCTGGAGCCTTTCTGAGGCTTTTTTGCACGTTAGCTGAGGGAATCACTAGAGAAACTTCGGGTGCTGTTGAGTCAACCTGAAGTCGACGAATTAAGTACCCCAAGATTCATTGGGTCATACACAATTAAGCGGTTAGGTTGAAATCACTGTAGAAATGCAAACCTTCTTTCAAAGTTAACGTTCCTATAATTTTTTTATATTTGGTTATACCAACACTTTCTGACTCGAGACAAAACACCGCACATCGGATATCGCCAACCACTGGTGAATCTGATTCCACGATTTTCTCAAATGCCTATAAAACATAATGTGAAGTACGGAGATCAGCGCTTTGAAAAAAAGGCTTTCGTTCAACACAGCAGGGACCACAGCCGATATGAGATTCGCCTGTGAGAATAAAAACAAATTTGAACAAGCCCCCACAGTTACAACAATAGCAGCCATATCATTCAGTATGCATTTGGCATAATAAACGCTGATCAGAAATTAAAATGGACTGTATGACGCATTTTTCCATTGGGAAGCGGTTAATCAACGCCTAGTCGGTCCATAAATTAAGTTTTTATCAGGTTGGGCAATAAGTATCCGCCGTTTTTTTAGACTCATGTTCTTTGATTTTTTTTGCTGACTATTTTCAAATGTAGTCTGAAGCTTCAACCTCTTGCACATTTTGATGTACAACACTTGTGTATTTACTTCACTATGGAGCTTACACACCAGAAAAAAAAAATTGCCCCTGCCACATGAGTGCAAGTTGAGCTCGAAACCGAATGCTTCTGCATCTGCTCGTAGAATCAATGAAGCCTGGGATGAAGGCACGGTTGCAGAGAGGACTGTTCGAGAGCATTTGTTGGCATCTATTACTGTTTTTGTTTGGTTTTGTTAATAAATTTATGTTGAATAAAAAACGGCGATAATTATATCGCTCAACCTAATATGGTCTTATTGCAACACGTCCTCTAAAAGATTACTAACAAAATGCTCCAACCATCAAGGCTGCGTCCTCATCGAATAAACTCACAACGTACATTAGTCGAGACAGGTATAAAAACTACCAGGAATGGTGTTTAGGCCACCCGGCCAAGATAAAATAGCACATTCTGTATCGCAGCATGAAAGATGCGACTCAAATCTTCTTTCATTACTGCTGAATCATCTCTGAAGAATTACGGAGTTTGTGCGCCCTTTGATTTTCAGTTTCTTGCTGCAATCATGTTTACCCTTTGTTATACGACCCTATAGGAAGCAAACCGAGATCCAACAATGGGGGAGCCCGTTGTATGCGGTCTCGCTTCTCATTACGGGGTCGCGAGTTCGACCTACCCCTGGATTTGGTGTTTTGCTTTTTTTCCAACATGGCTAAAAGCACCTTTGAATCTGCTATTTCACAAACGACTTGCTCGACGCTACGTCTACGGAGAGTTTGCAAGTAGATCCTGTTGAGTTTAAGCGATACTTTCCTTGAGCGCGCCGTGGGCCCGTAGAGGCAAAGTGCAATGCTTTTCCGTGGAAGCTTAGTAACCAATAATCCGTATTCAGGGATCAAACTACACCTAAAAACGGGTTTCTTGTGAAAACCTGAGGTCATGAACTAATTGAGAAAAAGCGGAGCAGTGATGGGATTACCACTCCTCAAACTCCACTTTTTTGGGTTGACCAATCATGGACGACGGGGAAAGGGGAGAGATGGTGTTGTATTAGGAAAATGCTTTGCAGATCTTTGGATGATGCAGACGGGCAAGCCAGACACAATTTTTGTCTAATTATCGCCAAAGTGTTTCGGAAGGTTTATCTCCTCTCCTTTTGAAATGATTCGGATTTTGGGAAAAAAAAAATCCCCCCCCCCCGGTGACTGCCCAAATTTTCGAGGTTAGGTCAAAATTTCAGAATTCGCTAGAAGTTTGCTCAAAGGGAGAGTCTGGCTCCCTGATTACGAATATCATACTTGTTCGAAGCAAAAATGCCTGGCGCCTGCGCTACAAGCGCCCAAAGTAGTGAGGAGCGGTGCCGCCCAAGTTCGTTATTAATTGCCCTTAATTCTTTGTACTGTTAACTATACGCAAGCATGTTGGACTAGCAATGTTAGGAGTCTTCCTAGCTATCTTACTGCAAACGGCAAAAGAACAAACTCGCCAGGGAGTTGATCCCCTGACCTCTTTTTCGTGAGCCTCGACCACAGCCCCTGCGCTTTTCTGCTTCATAATTCCTTTCAGAGAAGAGTTCAGCAGATAAGGAACACATATTTGAGCTCAGCGTCCCAAGGCGCGTATACACATAATACAGGGGGGGGCCAACATTTTGCCTATGTCGGACTTCGGCCCTTTTTTCTTCGCAGAGATTGCCGTCGTTGACGGGAGTTCCTCAGCAGAGTATTCCCTAAGTGTCCCTCTATAAGTGAACGCAGGCCCTCCTTCACTGCCCTCACCGTCTTCAGAATATGACGTCATCTGTCACCGTCGTCAGGCTCAAGGAGGTCTACCGTAAGAGCTTCAGCCTGAAGCTCTTACGCAATTTCGTGAATCGATTTAATGTTGGATAGTTTTCTAGAGGCATTAGCTACCACTGTGCAAATCCCCTCGGAACTAGCTTTCCAGTAAGGGTCGTTATGGTACACGATCCTTCGAAGACCCCATTGAGCTCGACCAGTGCACCATGTTTCCAGGGCAAATTCTTCTGATGCCGTCCACGTAGGTGGCCACCATGAAGATTTTCTTATAGAATGGAATGCGCTCTTTAATAATAAGTTGGGACCATTCGGTCTGAATTGAGCAAAATGTGCTTAAATCCATCTGGAAGTGGAGACAAAATGTCTTTTTTTTATTGCCCCCCCCCCTGTATATCTTATTTCAATTGCCCGGTTACCAGCATGACTTTTCTGTTACGTTGTCTTCAGAGCAAGGCAGATAGATATTAAGAACTCCAACGAGTCTGTATCATGAATGTAGTCATGAAGCTAGCCATAACCTGCCTCAGTGAAGTAAAAGAAACGAAATAAAACGGTAATAACTTGAAAATTGACACACAAACTGACTTGCGGCGTGAATAACCATTACTCGTCCCAGTTTATGGACTGGAATTTTCTTGAACATATGGAACGAGTCCAAAATAGAGACCTAAAACCCACCATCAAATGTTAGCTGTCTGAAATCCCCACATGTCTCGCAAAACGTGGTTTTTGACATATTGTTGGTTACAAGACTCGAAAATAAAGCATAATCGCTGTGGAAAAAATAGTTTTAACAGAAAGCTCGTTGGGCCAAGCGAAAAGATAACCTCATCGGCTGGGATTCCAATAACCACACACCGTTCCTGAAACACTTGCGCATCTTCGAGTGAATTACAGCAGAATACAGAGCGACTACGTGGAAACCACCTGAAGTATGAAAAGTTACGACCATTCCTTCTATTAGCACAAAAATTGTCACAGCTTTGCGTTGCACTGTCCAATTAACGCTTTAGTCGCATGATCGTACATGCTGGCTTTGATTCTACGTTAGTTTCGAACAGCAGCGTAAAAGCACCTCAAGAAATTGGCTGTCACTACGGCACAGATGTGGTCAGCTGACACGGCCATCGGAAGGCAGACGGCCGAATTCTTTGAGACGCATGACTTGACGATGTCCATCTACAATAGGAAAACCAAACAACGAACTTCCAAAGCAAACAGCCAGTGAGTTCACCAAAAAGTTTCCAAGAAGAAAAAAGAGACTAACAAGCTTCCTTCATACCTCGAACTGACGCAGATACTCATTGGCGGGATATCGGATCGACGATCCTTCTAAAGGATCAAAACCTGATTTTTCGAGCTCTGCCTCACTAAAGCAACACCACTTTACTATCAAGAAAAGGTTAACTGCAAAAATCGACAAGTATAATCAAAATGGGTGCCGTATTTGGAAACTTGACTGATATTTACAAACCGTCCTCATCCTGAAAATAATAAACAAACGCATTGCGACTGATATGTCGCAGAACTGGCGGTGCGCGTTAGGCGTTCTGGAGATGGTCAGACTTGTTGAATGCCGCCCTAAAGCCCCAATGAGGATATACCTTTGTTTGGCAGCTTCGGTGATGCTAAAATCATCCTCCAACTCTAATCAGGCAACAATCACAATTCAAAAATTTTGAATCTTTAAAATACTTAAAATAATAAAATAAACCACGGCGACTTTATCGTAAATGTTCGATGAAAGCTATGTTGAAGAGAAAATTTCCTCGGCAACTAACGCAACCATATTCGTCCCTTGGCAAACGCGACGTCGAGGTTCAAAGCGCGAGCGTGAGATTGAGAACAGTTGCCCATATCTATGCATCCCTTATTACATTCACATCGCCAAATGAAGCGAAAAAAAAGAACGCGAAAGCAAGCCGTTGGAAAAAATAGCAGAATAAATTGGTAAGGAAAAATAAATGATGAAAAATGAACAATTCAAGATTCGAAAAAGAAAGGCGAAAGTGTTGGAGAAAAGGCACTCGCATACTACATCAAACAGAACTTGCCTGTACTGGACAGCGGGATGGCGTTAATATGCTCCACGGGACTGTCGCTCAGAGTGATCACTTCATCTAGAACGACACTAAGCGAATAGTCTCTAGGTTCCTTTGCAAATGTTCCTTTTAAGTCCAATAGTGCCTGCCGCACCATTGGACTTATAGGGAAGCTTTATGGTATTCTAAATATACCTTGATTTCGATCTAGAGTGGAGGAATTTTGCGGTTGTTGTTGCTTGCTGCTCTTGTCGTTGCTGCTCTTGAGCTACCCAAAACTTATACAGCGATGCCGTCTTCGACTTCGGCGTTCTTTTCATTCTTCCAAATCTAAACCCACTGAACAAGCCAGATTCCACGATCACGCAAAAAAACGGTTTCCTCTGGCAAAAAAAAACATCGAAGCTCAGATCAAATGTATCTAAATGTTTTGTTGGTCACTAATAAAGAAATAGGATTTTCAAAGAAAGTGGACGATCAGAAAAACTGTTATATAGTGCAATGTAAGAAAGACTTCGCTGACTCTAAAATTAAACAGAACTAAGGATTAGAAACACAACTAATCCACGATTAAGAAGCAAACACAAAAAAGAAAAAGGTGCTGCCGCAGTTGAAAATTGTTAATTCCCACCAAAACTAGACCTCGTCTGTAATTGCAGATGTGTGTTTATGCTACAGTACCTCCG